TCAGGAGGTACAGAAGATCAGCATCGATGCCGGAAACACAACACAGTGCCCGCTGCCCCTCTGCTTAGTGGACCCAGCAGCACCTTTAGAGACGTTGCCTGGGGCCCAAGCCCTCTCAAGCCCGCCCCACTCCTGTGCTAGACTTGCAATATTGAACAACAGGCAAATCATCCCGTGGGGCCCCTCAGAGCAGCCTGGAAGGGGAACTCACCCCAAAGGGACCTAGAAGTATGTCTACGTGGTGGAGGATGGGGCTAGAGAGCATACGGATGGAGGAGGCCACCTTCAGGAAAATGAGAGCTTTGTGGGTCCTGAGACTCCTTGGTTGGGGCCCCTCAAGGTTGGAGACAAGTAAAGCCCTCCCGGCGTCCTAGAGACAGCTGGGAAACTCTCCGGACTGGCTGATGCCACAGGTCCAGACGTCTTGAGGAGGATGGAAGACCCTTCTCCAAGGGCTTCCTGCTGCCCACAAAAGCAGTGTAAACTCTCCAGCTTGCCTGCCAGGTCTCCTCCTTGGAAGATCACCTTCTGCTAAAACCCTCCCTTCAGGACTTGAGCCCACAGAACCCTCTCCCTACCTAGCATCCCTTTACAGCTCACTGCCTGCTCCTGGATCACTCACAATTGGTCACACATTCTCCCCAAAACGCTCCTTGCACTCCTTCCATCATTCGGGGCTCGTTGATCTCCAACACGCACAAGGCCCTGTGCAAGCAGCTGGGGGCAAACACAGAAGCAAGACATGGTCTGGCATTGCTAACAGTCCTGAGGGAGTGACAGGTTCCCTGGGGAATAACTGCTGAGCTGTACAAGGGAGAACAGGGGAGGGAAAAATATGAATACAAGAGCGGAGGAGGGAGCTCTGGATGCCGCTGGGGGTACTGGTGACAGACGAGGTCGCACTTTCCCAGTGCCTTACAGAGCAGAAAGCTACATCATGGGAGGTCTGAGCCCGCAAGGCGCACAGCTCTAGGGGTCAAGGTACATCTCAGTGTGACAAGGTGCTTAGAGGCCGAGACAGCAGAAGGTGAAGCTCAGGAGGGCCCTGATTTCAGCGGCCTCTATTCCCCAGGCAAGGAAGAGCCAAAGAAGGCTCAGAAGCAGCTGAGTGACAAACAAGATCAGGTTCACATTTTAGAATGAAATACTCTTGTGAGTCACATGGAAGAGGGTCAAGACCACGAGAACTGAGAGGTGCAGGTTGGAAGACCCAGGTGGGAGGGGACAAAGCAGAGGCTGGCCGGGGCATTTGTTGAGAGACACCAAAGAGGGAGCAGGACAGGCCTTGGTGAAGGAATGAAAGTGGATGATGTCACTGAACTAGCTGCTGCCCGGCTTAGTCTAGCTTGGCCTCTGTACTCTGGGCCCGCTGGCAGCGGGGGACGCTAAGCATAGCTCCCGGAGGAGGCTTGGATACCCTAGAGGAAGCAGCAGAGGGAGCACTCCACAACACTCCCCCCCACTTTCCTGACCCAGAAACAGTGCTGAGAGCTTTCCATACATTATCTCATCTCATCCTCAAGGCAGCTCGGCACAGGAAGCAGTCTCAAGCTGAGGAAAGTGAGGCTCAGAGAGGACAGGAGACTTGCCTAGAGCCACACAGCTGGCTGGTGGCAGGATCACTGGCCAGCACTTCCCCTCCCTGACTGCGGGGCCTGCACTCCTGACTGTGGCCCTGAGGGAGGCCCTGCCGGCTCAGTTCACCTGCTAGCAGAGAAGCGGGCATATCCCACAGCAGCAGGCATCCCCAGCCCTCGAGCAGCAGGGAGGCTAAGCAGCAGAAAGCAGTGTGAATGAAACTGCCCTCTCCAAGGACTTACTCCAAGGAAATAACTCAACAGAAGTCAAGTGCTATTATTCATAAAGATGTTCTTTGCATCACTGTCTATTGTGGCAAAAAAAAAAAAAAATTAGAAAATGAGTAGGATTTTTAAAATCATGAAATGTTACATAGCCTTTATAAATGGTAACTCTAAAGCCTAAGGTGTAATATGGAAAATCATTTGGTTATAAGAGTAAGTGAAAAAAGTCAGATCCAGAATGGTGCGTAGACCACGAAGGCAACTGCGTGGGGACAAAGATGGAGAAGGTGCAAAACTGCATCCAGGCCTCTGGCCAGCTCACAGGGGTGAGGAATGGCAGAGTCTACCATCTTGGGTTTTTCTTTAACGTTATTCCATCATCTTTCCAACAGTAACAATGCCAAGTTGGACTCCAGCTGGCTTGTCAGAGCGCCCCAGGAGGCCCCCTGCATGACCTGCCCCCAGCCGGTGCACACAGGCCCAGTGTCACCTTGCCTCCTGCCACCCTGCTCACTAGGGCCTCTCTTACCAGCGACTCTGACCACGGCCCGCTCCGCAGGGTCCAGCACCGAGTCCTGGCTCTTCCGCTTCTTCTGCTCATGCAGTGGAAGGTTCCAGGGTAAGGTGTCCCCGGGGGGACATGGGGAGAGGCTCCCTGACCTCTCGCTCCTGTACGATCTCTCACTCCGGCAGGACCGCTCACTCCGGCAGGACCGCTCACTGAGCGTCTCTTCGTCTGAGGAAGACATCGCCCAGGCAGGGGTTGCCGTGGGAGGGTCTGGGAGCCCAGGGACAGGTGGTCTGTGGGAGAGAGGAGAGCACATGAGCAGGTGAGGGGGTCGGTCATATAAGGCACACTGGGACTTGGGAAGCAGGTGCTAGTCCTAGTTCTGCCATTGACTTGACCTCTGAATCTCAGTTTCTTCATCTGGAAAATGGGGTGATGATAATGCAGGGCCAAATGAATTCACAGGGGTTGACAGAAATCCCAGGACGTAATATGTAAAGATGTTCATAAATATGAAAGTACTCAGGGAGCCTGGGTGGCTCAGTTAGTTGAACGTCCGACTGTTGGTTTCGCCTCAGGTCATAATCTCAGGGTCGTGGGGACCAGTCCCTCATCAGGCTCTGCGCTCAGTGGGGAGCCTGCTGGAGATTCTCTCTCTCCCTCTCCCTCCGTGCCTCCCCCTACTCTCTCTCTCTCAAAAGAAATAAATAAAACCTTTAAAATAAATAGATAAATAAATAAATAAACCTGAAAATACTCTGTAAAAGTTAAGCTCCTATTCCTAATAAGCGCTACTATTGTTAGTTGGTCATTTGGACCTTTCAAGTCCCACAGATCATAAGACGTGGATTCAGGTTCTGCCCTGAGGAAGCTATTTGACCTCTGAGCCTCAGCATCCTCATCTGTAAAGTGGGGATGATGATAGCACCTACACCTCCCAGGGCTGTTTGCAAGGCACAAATGAGATCCTGCAGGTAAAGCGCGGAACAGGGCACGGTGTCTAGTAAGCACTTAATGGACGGCATCTACTGTTCCATTCCTGTTCGACCTACCTCCCAGGAATGTTGTAAGGATAAAATGGGGCAGCAGATGGGAAGTATTTTCAAAAAGCTAAAGCACGATCTCACTGGCAGGCCTGAAACAAAGCTTGAGCTAGAAAAGACAGAAATTCTACATCTGTCTCATTCCATCTTTGGCCAAGTCTATTGAGAAAAGTATTGAACTTGAAGTAAGACCAACCTACGTGTCAACTCTGGTCTGGCCACTTTACAACTGGTGTGGTCTGGGGCAAGTCACTTCACCTCTCTGGGACTCAGTTTCCTCATCAGCAAAATGGGGGCACTATTTCACCTTAGAGGATGTTTTAAGAACATAGTGAAATGCAAATCTAAAACTGGCTGGAACCACACAGGGCACACAATGGGTGTTAGATAAAATGTTCATTTGCTTATTCCAAGGACTGTTGTGGGAATAAGTGGCACAGCATGGGGGTGGGGGAGGTGGTACAGAAAGTTTTTCTGGTCATTTTAGCTAGTGGAGAGATCTGAATGGAAACACAACCACTCTGGGGCCAGCTGGGCTCCACCAGCCAGACTGGGCAGCCGTCCCTCAGCCAAGCCAAGCTCCTTTCCCAGAACCATCTGCTACACATGGCCCACCACCTCAGCGGCCTCATCAGAGCGTGGATGGTGCATGCCTTCAGCTACCAGCCTCCCTGCAGGCCCCAAATCCAGCTCAACTAAGCAGCTCTCACTTTGGCTCTAGGGTCCAGGTTGGGGGGAGACGGTCAGCTTTCCCTTATGGGGAATACCTGCACCTAGGTCTCTGGGTACAGCTCCTCCCAGATTCTGGGAATCTCAGCCTGGAGGGAGCAAGGGGCAGGGGCGGGCTCCTGGGTCATTGGTAGATCCCCACCAGAAGCACAGAATGTGAAAAGATAACAAAAGAAACATCAAACGTTTGCAGGAGGCCTCCAAGCAGCCACGGGCAGATAGAACAGCCCTTCCAGGGCCCCTCCTGTGCGGGAAGCATTCGGGCCCTTTTCCCATGGAACATCAAGAAGGAATCTAGCCACAGAAAGGAAAGGACCCAGGATCTGGCACAGCTCTGCCTTTTATCCTAGCATTCCCCCCTTCCCGCAATTACTTCTGGTGCCCGCCTCCCACAGCCAGGTCCGGTGCCCAAGCGACTGCCCCCGCCTCGGGGGAAATTCAGGCCAGGCTTCCCTCCCCAGCGTCAGCAGCGGCCAGGAAAACGCCCCTCCTCTCAGACCACCTGCTTCAAGCCAGAACCGCCCATTCCTCCCCAAGACGCCCATTTACTACAAAGGCCGGCACATCCCCAGCCTCGTCCCAGGGAGACCGTCTCTCCCCAGCTCTACCCGGGTCAGTCAGCCTCCCCTCGCAAACACCTGTTTGACCTCGGGGCTCTCGCCCCACCCCTCGCTCACCTGAGTCACTCCATCAGCCCCCGAGTCGCCGGAGAGCGCGCCCACGCCCCCAGCCCACTCCCAAGGCCGTAGGCCCGGTGCGCGACAGGCACCTCACCCGGCTCTCGCCCGCTGAGGCCCTCCCGCCCCCGGCCCCCTACCCCTGCCCCGCAGTGGGGGAGGGGCGCGCCCGCGAACCCGGGGCCCCGCGGGTGGGTCCGCGTGCCTGCCGCGCGCGGCTGACAAAGAGCGGGGCCGCGCCATGCGGACGCGCGACCGGGAGCCGAGCGGGCGCCCAGGCCCGCGGCGGAGACCTGGGGCCGGGAAGCGCCTTCCCCGGCCGGGCCCTGGCCGCTCCGCAGCTGTCTCGCCCGTCCCGAGAGGGCTCGGCGTACCATCTTCCCGGAGAACACGCCTCCCTCTGGCCCGGGCAGCGCCCGCCGCGGGGAGACCCCCGCCCCGCGCGCTTGGCGCTCGCCCGCCCGGGCCGCTGGGGCTGCAGGTGCGAGGCCCGGGCGGCCGCGATGCCCGCGCCTGTCAAGCCGCCTCCCCGCTGCCGCCGGCCGCCCGGGCTCGGGCGCGGCCGCCCCGCGCCATCCAGCACCGCGCCCCGCCGCCGCCGCGCACCCGGTGGACAGGCAGGGAGCCTGCAGCCAGCCCCGCGCCCCGCGCCTTACCTTGGGAGCCGGAGCAGGGGAGACCGGCCGGCGGCAGCAGCAAAGGCGGCGGCGGCGGCGGGGCGCGCCCCGGGCTGGTGCGCAGAGGAGCCGAGGGGAGCGGCTCCCACAATGGCCGAGCTCGCGGCGCCGAGCCCCCCGCCCCCCGCGCCCTAGCGGCAGCGGCTGAAGCGGAGCCGGCGCAGCCGCCCAACCCGCTCCCCCACCCCCGGCGCCGACGCCGCCCCCCGCCCCTCGATGCGCGCTCCCCCCGCCCCGCACCCCACCCGCGGCCGCTGCCTCGCTCCCCGCGCGCCCCTGCCGGGCCGCAGCCCGGCGCCCCCCCCCCCGCACTGCCCCCAGCGCCCTCCTTCTGGGTCCCTCCCCCCCCGCAACTCCTCCCGTGCGGCCGCGGGGTTCCCAGGCCAATTCACACCCCCACATTCCCCGCCCTGTGCTCCCGCGCCCTCTCCGCCCGGGCCCCGCGGCCACTCACTGACCCGGGCCTGCCTCATCCGCCCGCCCCTTTGAAGCTCCTCACCGCCGGTCCCCGAGTCGCTGTCCCAGGCTGCCGGGCCGTCTCTCAGCCCGGACCTGGTTCTTAAACGGCCCATTCCCCGGCCTGCCCCTCCATTGCCGGCTTTCCCCAAACCCACATTCTTTCCCTGCTCCTGGGGCTTCTGCTTCCGCTCGGGAGAGCGCCCGAGCCGGTCCACATACCCGCTGGGCTTCTGGAGCTGAACGTAGGAGGGATCAGAAGGAGGCCCCATCTTCCCCACAGGGTAAAGGGCAGAGCGGAACCAGGCCCCATGAGGCAACTCACTCTTGTGCTGCATCTCCTGAGAAAACATTTATTGAGCGGTTTCTGCATGCTCCGCCTAGTAATACAGAAAATAAGAGCCAGAAATGCTTTCAGTGCTTTCATAGTACAGATAAGGGAGTATCTTCAGAGAAGGGAGGGTATTTGCCTCAAGTCACTCCTCGAGTGACCTGCATAGCAACAGCTGCTGTTTGGGTGTGCCTCCTGGGGGACCATGCAAGAACCATGCGAGGTGCTTTACCTGGGTCGTGCTGTATCTGATCCTCACAATCCTGTTCATTCATTCTTTCAACAAATCTATGTACTGAGCATCTACCATGTGCCAGGCCCTGGGCTCTGTGCTAAGAATATAAGAGTGAGCAAGATGCATCTGGTCCTGCCCACTGGCTCCACTGGACTCAGCAGTAAAGGCAGGATATAAACCTCAGTGGATCCCTTAAAGCCATATTATGATCATCAATTTCTGGGTGTAGAAACTGTGACTAGATAATTTACTCAGTCATCTAGGAAGAAAGTAGCCAATTCAGAACTAGGATCCATGTCCTCAGACTCCATATCCTGGGTCCTTTTTCTCTGTAAAGGTTAGGAAAAAGTGGGTGGGATCAACTTAAAGGCCCTTGAACTTCAAGCTAAGAAATCTGGTCTAAATTATGTGGTTATGAGCAGCCAAGGAAGGAAGGAAAGCAGAAGAGTGAACGCAATCCAAAGACAGGCACAAGATGAGTGTGGATGGCTATGCCAGAAGACTATTGCAATAGTCCCAGCAAAAGGTAATGAGGCTCTGATCCCAAGAAGGGGCAGTGGAGGCGGGAAGGGGGGATTTCCACCCACTGACACCTTCTAGGTTTCTGTCTGCATGTATCTTCCCATGTTAAATAAAGGAAAGGAACCACCACTATTAAATTTCAGTAAGTGCTAGGCAATGCTCCAGGCATTTATGTACATTATCTTGTTAAATCCTCCTCATAACCCTGTGCAGTAGGTATCTTTAGGATTCTCATTTTAGAGTAAAGAGACAGTGACTTTGAGAGGTTAAATGACTTGCTGATGCCCACAAAGCAAGCTAGTGTTGGGGCTTGGGTTAAAGCCCAGGTTAAAGTGCAAATCTTGTGCTATAACCATTGCTCTTCACTGTCTGAAGCCAAGGCAAAGAACCCAAGTCCTTTGATCCAGCCAAGGGTTCTTCACTGTGGGCCACAGGTACCTTTTGGACTTCCAGAGAAAGGTCAGGGGTCCACAAATGTAGCTGGGCTGGTAGCATAGGGACATTTCTCCCCAGAAGCCTGCAGAGGCCTCAGCCCAGGAGAATTCAACAGACCGGTTCGAAAGTTCCCGTGGGGATGTGCTTAGAAAACGTGAGGCAGAAGCAGAAATGCAAAAACCCTTCTCTGGTGAGAGGGTCACATGGGTGCCAAGGGGAAGACATAACAAGGGTGCCAGTGGCTGGGTATGAGACTGAGTGTCTTCAGGGGCTGGGACCTGTGGCCCCAAGCTCTGGAGACAGGACCAGCTGAGGAGATCTCCTGGGGCAGGGCTGTCTCATTCCTTAGGAAGCCTGCAACCCCAGCCTCTCTGACTGGAGAGCATAGAATGTTTTGCCTCTTCTCAACCTCATTGTCCTTCCCAAATCTGACCACCAGTCCTGTCCTGAATTATTCATGCTGTGGGCTGAGAGAAGGTGGAGCTTCCAGAGGTTTCGGGACTCAGAACCTAGGACATTCAGCTTTGTCTCCCCAGGACTTTAGCTCCAGCACTGCTGCCCTGGAATTGAGCTGCTGGTAAGATCTGCCAAGCTTTCTGCAGCTGGCTGCTGGCCAGTAACCTTGGGCTACTGGGCTTTGATTCATTTCAGCCAATCTTTTATTGAGGAATACCATGTGCCGGGGACAGTTCTGTGTCCTGTCAAGAACACGGGAGTGAATCTGTTCAGGTCTTTGTCCTTGAGGATTTGTGGCCTAGTGGAGGGGGCAGACACTTAAAAATTATTCCCTTCTACCATGTCCCCTGCGTCTGGTAAGTGTTCCCCTTCACTGTCCCCCATTTCACCAACTGAAGTCCTCTGCTAATTCCCTCCAGAAGTCCGTGGCCTTGGAACTAGGGAACCTCACACCCCAAGCACCTGAGCAAGGTTCTTGCCTTGGAGGGGCCCCAAAACAACCTCTTACCCAGAACTATTTGGAGTCCTGAACTTGGCCCCAGACTGTGGCTTGGGCCCCTAGGTTTCCAGCCACATCAGGAAAATGACACTCACTCTCGAATCCACCCATTCAGCAAACACTAATTAAGCATGGAATCAGTGCCAAGCACCCAGCTTTGTGTTGTGCGGCTGGTTCAAAACCAAATCACACAGGCATGGCCCCTGTTCTCATGCTGCTCACAGTCTCAGTGGGGAGAAAGACAAGCAAAAGGGCAATTATACTTGAACGACAGTGCAGAGATGGCGGGGGGAGTAGTATAGGACACCCTGGGAGGGAGCACGGCACAGAGGCCAGATAATTTTACCAGGACTTTCATCCTTGTCTTTCTTGGTCTTTGCATAAAGGAAGACTCTTCCAGTGGCCTATGTAGTCTTCCATACTGGCTTTTCCTTCCACTTTATCCTGTATTCCAACCTATTCCTCTGGACCCTTTGGAATCAGACAGGTGTCCAATGGAAGGTGGAAGTAAACATGAACCTGAGTGGAGACTGGAGCGTGAAGTAATACTATCCAGAGGAAAGAGCACAGGATCCCCAAACTCGGAGGGACTTGGAAGATTTCTAAGCTCTGCCTAGAACATTTCCTGCCCACCTTTCACTGAGCGATTCCTCACATCCAGACACTGGTGATGTCCAGATATGTATCTCATCTGTGTCTCATCCCAGCTCCAGATTCAGATCCAACTGCCTCCTTGACATCCCCGTCCCCACCCAGATATCTGATAAGCATCTCAAACTCACAACGTCCCCCACAGCGCTCTTGGTGTCTGCCCCTACCACCCACAAACCTGTTCTTCCCCATCTCTGCCATCTCAGAAAAAATGGCCCCACTACCTACCCATATACTCAAGTCAAAGATCCAGGATTTACTCTTGATTTTTCTTTCTCTCATTCTCTTCCACATCAGTGAGGGCTGACAAACTACCTCCATAATGTATCCTGAACTCATCAACTTCTTCTGTCTTTTTATGACTGCCTTAATCCATCATTTACCTGGACAACTGCACTAGCCTTCTGAATGGCCTTCCTGTTTCCCCTTTTGCTCCCACCCACTTCAATCCATAAAGCAGCCAAGAGCAGACCTTTTAAAACCTAAATCATGTCATGTCACCCCCCACACAGTTCCAAGTTACACTTAGAATAAAATATAAACTCCCTATAATGGTCCATAATAATGAGCTGGCCCTTGCTTAGACCGAATCTCAAGACTCCCTTGCTCGCTGGATTCCAACACATCAGACCTTCTTTCTGTTCCTCTCACAAGCTAATCTCATTCCCATTTTAGGGCTTTGCAAAGTGTCTTAACTGCCTGGAATTCCCTTCTCTAAAGTGTTGCATAATTGGGGCACTAGCTGGGCAGAGCATGGGACTCTTACTCTCGGTGTCATGAGTTCAAGCCCCATGTTGGGCATGGAGCCTACTTAAAATTAAAAGAAAAAAATTAAGGGGCACCTGGGCAGCTCAGCCGGTTAAGCATCTGCCTTTGGCTCAGGTCATGACCCCAGGGTCCTGGGATCAAGCCCCGCATCAGGCTCCTTGCTCAGCGGGGAGCCTGCTTCTCCCTCTCCCTCTCCCTCTGCTTGTTGTTCCCCTTGTGTGTGCTCCCTCTCTGTCGAATAAATAAAATCTTTTTTAAAAAAACTAAAATATTGTATAATTGGTGTCATTTTCATTATCCAGGACTCAGCTTAAAAATCACCCCTTATAAAAGGCCTTTTTTGACCACTCATCTACATAACCGCATTTGTTAAACATCGTTATTTTCCTTGTAACAGTTATCACTCTGTCATTATCTTGCTGATTTGTTTGCTTGCTTCTTTTCTGTCTCCCCCCCACCACCACCACCATGCTCCAGGAGAGTGAGGAAGCTGTCTGTGATGTTTACTGCTGTATCCCTGCAGTGGCTGGCACACCGGAGGCTCGCAGAGACACTTGTTGAATGGATGAGCTTGAATGAGTGAATCAGTGAAGTGAGAATAGCAGAGCAAGAGACTTACCAGCAGAGAGATCAGTATGTACAACGACCTAAAGTTGAGAGGGAATGTCTAATCTTTGAGAAATTGAAAGGAGTTCAGAATAACTGGCTTGAAGAGCTCTGGGGGTGTGGGTTGTCCAAAATAAGGCTTGAGAAGTAGTTAGGGGAAATTATGGAGAATGTTGGGTTTTAGATTCTCTTCCAAGTTCCATGTGAAGCCACTGGAGGGTTGGATTGTTGGGGTTTTCTTCCTTTTTTTTTTTTCTTTTCAGCTTTATTAAGATACAACTGACAAGGCATTTAAAGTATACACAATGATGATTTGGTATACAAATACACATGGAAGCATTCCCTCCACCTAGTGAACTAACACATCACACACACACAGACACACACACACACAATTTTGTGTGGGGGGGTGAGAACATTTAAGTTCTACTCTTAGCAAATTTCAATTATATAATACAATTTATCAACTATAGCCACCATCTTTTACATTAGATTTTCAGACTTTATTCATCTTATAGCTTAAAGTGTGTATACTTTTAACCAACTTATTTCCCTATTTCCCAGCCCCTGGTAACCACTTTTCTACTCTCTCTGTTTTTATAAC